GTTCTTTATTCTATAGGCAGGTCTGAGTACATTCTGTTTGTGCAGAACTTTTCCTGGCCATGCCAATATATTTCATTCATGTTCAACAGAGTCAGTATCTCTGATTTCGAAGCCAAATTTCTCCCATTCCTCACTTTCACCATCCAGGTTCCTCCTTCAACAGTCCTTTGCACGGCAACCATTTTCTTTGGTTCTTCCAGGGCCTTGTCACTCCAGGAACCCATTTGTCCTCCACACATTCTACATATTCAGCCATTCTCTCACATGCTCACCTTTTTAGAGAGGGAGTTCTAAAACCAGAGGGCAGCAGTTGAAAGGTTCCTTTCCTATGTCCATACCAGGTTTGCCTGCAAAAGTAGTGAAACCAAGAGAAGAATCTCCCTGGAGATCATAAGACTTGAATGAGCTCATACAGTGACATACAGTTCTTCAGATATCATCAGAAAAATTTACTTGAGGAACAAGGGATTTCTTTACATCTAGAGTTGCTGTGGGTTAGAAAGCAGAAGTTGAGGTCTGCTCAAAGTAAATCAAGGAATATATGCTCACTCTCCATTTCAGCCATGGAGGATTTCTACACACTGTAAAACTAAAGTGACTGGATTGGGAATTGACTAGAGAAGAACTGTATTCTTTTGTAATATAATGGAGATTTTCTTCAAAAGTTGACAATGAACTGGTTCAAAAGGCAAAATGCATTCATAATGTAGAAGTAAAAAAATTGTTACTTTTCTTGTTTTGCATATATTAGCATAGTGTACACCATGTGCATAATGTACATGGTGTACACCATGTGGCCGGCATGGTGTAGTGGTTTGAGCATTGGACTCTGAAGATCAGAATTCGAATTCCAGCTCAGCCACGTTAGCCTACTAGGTGACCATGGGCAAGTCACATGCTGTCAGCTCAAAGGATAGCAGTGGCAAACCCTCTCTGAAGAAACGTTAAAAGAAAACCCCATGATAGGTTCACCTTAGGGTCACCATAAGTTGGAAATGACTTGAAGGCACACAACAGCAACAACAAAACATAGCTGAGTCTCCATGTTACTTGTAAATATTTAAATAAATGTTTGTAACAAAATCAAATCACCTTTAAAAGCAAAAAAGGAGGAACAAATTATAGATGAAGGTGTGTATTTCTCTCCCACCCAATGACTCTGTTGGATAAGAGAGAAGGTCAATCTTATCATTCAGAATTGCAGTAGATGTTAGTTGAATATGAGGGGGTATTGTAAAGTTTTAAATATCACCTTTATACAATTTTTACAGAAAGTTTGTTTTCATTTGTAGTTGTTAACTTTTCTCTACATAGTCACCATCCAGATTTACAGATTTTTCCTACCATTTCTTGACCCTTTGAATACTGTTATTGTAGAAGTCTGCAGATTGTGCCTTAAACCACTCTTTCACTTCATGAATGACATCATTTGTGTTGTCAAACAGGCAACTCTGCAATGGATTTTTCATTTCTGGGAACAAGAAATCCATGGTTACCAGATAACCAAAAAAATCCTCTTCATCCTAATCCAACAGCATCAACATTTGTCTAGAAAGGTCACACCGTGTTTGTTTCTGGAAAGGGGTTAGGAAACGTGGAACCCAGTATGCAGACACCTTGCACATGTGCAGTTCATCATGAATAATTTCCCACACACTACCATAACTGAGACCAGTTTCATTCATTATCATTTGGATGGTTGCTCGTCTGTCTTCCAGGATTAAACATTCCACTTTCTTCACTGTGGCCGCATTGTCCATCAATGATGGTATTCCAGGTCTTAGCTTGTCTGTGAGGGATATGTGACCAGTTTGGAAATTCCTTTTCCACCTCACAGTAGTGTCATAAGATGGGCATTCATTCCCTAAACATGAATTTGCCAGGCACTATTACCTTTCAAATGCAGTAACTTTATTACACTGTGATCCTCAATCTTCTCCATCTCGATGAAGAGCTAGTTTTCTCAATATCATGCACTTAGGGACCAATGATGACACTGACAAAATTTCATCAGTATACCATAATAACCTCCGGGTGATAATTATTACTTTACGATACCCCCTCATATATGAACATGTACACATACACAACATATTTAGCAGTTGACAGAAATTATTTTTGATAAGTTACAAAAATACTCTCACACTGCTGCATGGATTCAAATCTGCTCTCAGTTACTTGTATACAATCCCACTGTAGTCAATGTCTGATGTCCAGAGATTAACACAGGCACCTGGCATTTTTTGATGTTTTTCTAGCATAATCATTTGTGGCCCTCCCTGCCATTAATTTATAATTTGTTAAGGGTTACTGAACTGGAAGGACCATGTATGAAGAGCCCCCATTAGCTTATAGCAAGCAACCTTAAACTTGTGCTGTTGAGTGCAGTCTTGCACCTTATATCTGAAAGTCTTAACATTTGTTTTATTTTCATTTCAGAACCCTTTATTCTCTGTAGCAGTTCTTTAGTGTGAACCTCAATTTGAGCAGTCTAATTCCTAGTAAATGTGTATCTTTCTGCTAGAAACACAACACGTAAGATCCTAGAGTCTCATTAATCAGATTATAGCATGGTAGAACATAAAGACTAGCAACTTGGCCATAGGACTGAATTCACAGACATAACTTCATTTATATGTTATACAGAGGGAAAAGGATAGTAGATATTTGGACGTCTCTTTTCTCCTTACCATGCCAGTATCATTGAAAGATTACACAGACAATCACCTTAGTTCCTTAACTAGTAGGCTGGAAGTAGGAGATATATTTACTCAAGCATTAAGGTTAAAATCTAATGCAGAAATACTGATCACAGGAAGAACTAAATCTAATTGCTAGTCTCAACCAGACTTCTGAACAGACTGAATTAATGGATACTTGGTGAGAGAACATTGATGTAAGTTTATTTAATGTGCATACTTTAGTTGGAACTCACATTTGGACATAGACCTGAGATTTACTTCTGAACAGGAATCCAAAAGTGCAGGCTGTAAGAGGAATTACAATCCTGAAGCTGCATTTTCACAATTTGCCCTTATTCAGGCATTTTATGTTTATATTCCTTTGTATTGTTAAAAAAATCAAAGGACAATGCAAGGTTTACACTACTTTTTCATATGGTGTCATGGGCCTGTAACTATGTTTGATTATATTTTATAATATTATTTTTCTTTAGAAAAAAAAATCAAAAATGCCATGTTATATTTTTATTAAAGTACAGTAGCCCCTCCCAATTTGCGGGGGATACATTCTGGGCTCCCGTGAAAATGGCAACTCGCAAATATTAAAGTCCCATTGAAAATCATGGGGTGTGCCCATGGTGCGCATGTGGGGCTGGGCTGTGCACATGCTGTCATTTTGTCCCTCCCTGCCTGTCCCTCCTGCGAAGAGTGAGACCGTGGACTTCAAATCTACGAATGGGGAGGGACAACTGTATTTGAATTTTTAAAGTATTTTGTTGATAATAGAAGGCATTTTTTCCTTCTTCCAGTACTGCTTCTCCTGTCTCTGGAGGTTGGAGAAGCAGTACTGGAAGAAGGAATAATGGTGATGATGATGATGATGATGATGAGTGAATTTTCTAAGTTCAGGACACTTTCAAAAGATCAAAGCTGAAGTAGAAGGGAAAGGGTAGGGTCAAGCAGACCGGCAACTTGGAGCGACCTGAGGCCACTCCAGCCCCAGTCATTCCCTTTTGTCACAGGACTGCAGCAACCAGAATCCATGGTATCAAGGACACCTGTTGTCACAATCCGAAATGAGCGGCTAGCAAGAAGCAGTTTTTTCACTCTTTTGCCAGTGGCTCCAAGCCACCTTAGGCAGCTGTGGCGCAACATTGGCCCAATCCAGGGACATGCGTCATCTGTACACCATGCCCCTGGATGGGCCTGAAGCCAGCACTGTGTTATGTCTTGCATCCTGGACTGTTTTTTTGATCTGACTCTAAATCACATCCCCAAAGCTTCCAGTTGACTCACATGGCTGAGCAGGAAATCGAACCCTGGTCTCCAGATTTGTAGTCCAACACTCAACCACTATGCCATGCTGGCTCTCTCCATTAACTGCACAGATTTAAATTATATGAGAGTGAACATAATGTTCAGAAATATTTGTCATGCCTAGCTTAGCATTCAGAAACATAACAATTTTTTAAAAGGGAGGAATAATAATAGCAAAAAACATTTTTGTAAAAAAAGCAGATGAATGAGGAAGGCAGTTGAGGAGTTTAGTTTCAGAGACTTTATTTGAGCTGACATTCATAATGAAAAAACTGGCAATAACAGTAGCTGAAAAAGGTAAGATGAGAAAGGGAAATAAAATTAAAGATCATAAGCAAAGAAAGAAAGACAAGGAAACTAGAATGAATGAATAACATCCAAAAGGGGAAGATCAATAAAGTTAAGGCCAAGAAAATAACTGAGAAAAAATCCATTAACACAAATGGAAAAGAGGAACAACTTGAAAGAGAGGGTTAAGAGCATGAAATAACTTTGTTCCCCTGAAAACACAGCAGGTTCAAAGAGTCAAGAATAGAATGATCAACAGCATCAAAAGATGAATTAAAATAAAAGAACTGCATAATTAAATGACCATGAGATTCAGCTAAAAGAAGATCATTAGTAATATAACAGTCTCTGTTGAATGACTAGGTCATAAATCAGATTGGAAGGAGGATACACAAAATAAACAAAATGGGAAAAAATACATTGAGAAAGGGAAATGCACATGGGGAGCAAGCAAAAATATAGACACTAAAGAAGGTTTAAAATCTGGCAGTCAAAGTATCTGATATTATATTTAAGGAAAATAGATGATGCTTATTCATGGAAACTTGAATAAGAGGTTTTTGTTTTGTTTTTTTTAAAAAAAAGGTAAAGGTATTCCCCGTTGACAAGGTTGTCAAGTCTTGTCTGACCACAAGTGGCAGTGCTCATCTCCATTACTAAGTTGAAAAGCCAGCGTTGTCAAAGACTACTCTGTGATCATGTGGGCCAGCATGATTGCACAGAATGCTGAATAGACAGAGACTGTCTATTAATTAGTTTCTCATTATGTATAATATGTGCTTGACAGAGATGGTCAAAACTGATCAACACTGATCACTTTCAGCTAAACAGTAAAGGTGATTATGACTAATTTTTTTAATGGAAATTGGACACATATTCTTATCTGTTTATTTACTACATCAATTTCTGTTTTGCTTACCACATCAAAAACAATATCTTGTTCATGCCGTCCATGCCAACAACTCCTATCTCTCTGTACATCAAAAGATAACATATTTGCAGCCAAAATATGCAATGCAATCTATACTGACAAATGTGAGACCGGATACATTTTATTTACCATATGCACTTAACTATAAGTCAACTTTATGTATAAATTGAGGGCAGATTTTTGGGGCCAAAATTATGGATTTTGATATGACCCATGGATAATTCAAGGGTAATACTTGGGGACATGTAACAAAAGCTATAAAGGATGAAGCCAAGGAAAAAGAATACTAAAGAACATACAAAAATAGCATTCAACTTTAATGTGATAACTTTGCCTGATTTTACAGGTTGTAAACAAACATACACAAATGACTAATTCAAATCTTTCAAAGTCAGATTCCTCTTGATGCCACTTTGAGGGGAAGCCTCAAAGGAGGCTGCCAACATTTCTCTACCAGGCAGTCAAAAAGCTCAGAAGCATGACAGAAAAAGTAGAGTACATCTTTTAGGTGCTCCCAAGAGAGACTAAACTCTCGATTTTCACCACTGTGCTCAGAGGAGGGGATGGTTCCTTTTTTGATAAGAGTTAAGGTACAGTACTTACATTGACTTGTAGATAAATCAACCTAAGTTTTTTGGGTCAATCTTTTGACTAAAATTTCTAGACTTATTCATAAGTATATACAGTATATCATTTGTGTAAGCAAAACTGTATGCAGCAACCTCTAAGTAACTTCTAACTAAGTAAATTCACCTGGCCCAACCCCTCCAAACCTGACAGGTAAATTGTTCAGTTGTGCTCTGATTGCTGACAGAATGGCCCTCCTCCTTCCCACGTAGCTAATGTCCAGTGAAGTAGGTTGAGGGGTGAGTTACGGTCATGGCAATAGTATCAAAGTCATGACTGAGCAGTGACTGTCAATACAAAACAGTTGCCTAACTGTAATTGTTACTATTAGCATGACCATAACTCCCCCCCCCCCGCCCCAACTGACATTACCAACGATGAGCTGCATGGAAAAGGGAGCCATTCTGCTGGTGATCAGAGAAATGTTGAATGTCGTTTCTACCAGCCAAAGGAGATATAAGATCAGGAGGGGCTACTTTTCACTTCATTGCTGATTTTTTTTTAAAAAAGGCATATATAAAGAGGCATAGTGCTGAAGTGGCAAACTGTTCTGGTACAACCGATGTGTTTGTTTCAATATCACCTCCTCCTTCCCTTCTCCTCCAAGTACTCTCCTTCAATGACTCAGTTCACACAGGGAGTGAATGCATGTGTGTGTGGTCTTGCTCCAAAATCTAATCTCAAATACGTATAGTGGAAATTGTGTATGTAATTATAAGGCCTGTTTTGTATTCACATCTTTAACACTGAATACGTGGATTTAATATCATGCAAGATTGTAACCAAATACTTTTTTCCACATCTAAAGAATTAATTCTAAAATTTTAGACTGTAGTAGAAATACTCATATTGTGATTTCTCTCCCCCCCCCTTTACCCAGGTGACCATTGAAGAGCGAATCAGACAGTTACATGAGGCTCACCGAGATTTTGGCCCTACTTCCCAGCACTTCCTTTCTAGTAAGTAACTGCTCTTTTTTGTTAGTGTTTTTGCCAATTTGCACTGTGCTTCTAAGGCCTCCCCCCCTCCCAATATAGGCAATCTTTTCAAAGAGGACAGCTAAGATTTCTTCTCTTTATCTTTCATAAAACACTGCTATTAACAGATGCATAACACAGTAGTTAAGTATCATGGTGATTTGACACCTTGACTCAGAAACCCATACAATTAAACAGAGGCCTAAGTCTCCCCCACTCACCAAGGTTTCCAAAACCAAGGCTGTTTCTTATAAAATGAAGATAGGGTGACAAACTTGGATGCTGAATACACTACTGCATTCCCCAGTTGTACAGACAACATCTTATGCAATATTATTATTATTATTATTATTATTATTATTATTATTATTATTAAACATATAATTTAGAAAAGGAGGTGTCAGTTCTATCTGGTATTTTATATTCTGGTTTGTTTTGGGGGTTTTGTTTTGTTTGCATGGCAGAGCATTCAGTTATGTTGGTTGACCCTTCAGATGTTTTGGACTGCAATTCCTGTAATAATTTATGACTGGCCATGCTGACACTTGGACACTTGAAGTTTGAAACATCTCAGGGGCTAGGGACAAGATGCCCTCCCCCCATCCTTGAATGATATAAGATTCCTGCCTGCAGTGTTAAGATAGTACAGTGGTCTCCACATTCACTGTGGAAGTGAAGGACACCATTAATGTGGGAAAACTGCAAATATAAAAAAAAACCACTATTCTTTCTACCCAAGAGACCACCTCTTAAGGTCTCCCAGTCTCTCCAGGTCTCCCAGTGCAACTCTATTGTCAACATCTGCCAGAAGCAGATCATAGAATCATGCTGGAGAATATACAAATGCCTAAAGAAGTGTTTTCTCTAGGACCTTCTAGGTTCTCCAGCACACCTCTATGGTCATATGGTCACCTGCATAGTTGCACTAGAGAACCTAAATATTCTTAGAGAGAACATATTAATCAAAACCACAAATAATCACATCTGCAGAAGTCAAAGCCACAAATGTGGTGGGCCAACTGTATAGTGTTGTCTAAACTAGGCTTAAGAGTTCAACAATTACTCTGTCCCCCTTTTCTAAATAGCATTCCTTGTTTCCAGGTTTTTCACTACTCTAAAGAATTTATTATTCAAAAATGCATTGATTGGAGTAATTATAGGAGAGTAATTATCATGAGAGTAGCAGAAAAATAACGAGATGTGTGGAGCAGAAGAATGTTAAAAATGTATTAAATCTTGAAAGATGCAGTGCTTTTTACTTGTTGCCATTGGAGTGAATGGAAGTCATTCATTAATCTGGGAGAATGTAAATGGGCATATTTTGTGATACCACTTGAGGAAGGAGATGGACCTACATGGAAAAGCCTGAGGCAAAGAACAGTCCTGCTCAATACTGTCTGAGATTTTCTGCTTGTTTAGATTGTCTCATTAGAATTTAATAGAGCCACTAAAGATTTTTCCTATTCCCAGCTGCAGGGGCCAGCCTAGTTTCCATTTCTGGGGCCTCCCTTACATATGCAGCACAACTTTTGAGTTGGTAGCATGGATTGTGTTTCTTCAGACTTGCAAATGTTGGATTCCACATGTGAACATCTAAATGATAAAATCTGGCTGACAAAATTAACACAACAGGGAATGGGCTCAGCAGGGACCTTTCTCCTTGATATGCTAGATATTACAAGGGGGGGAGGGAGGGAGGGAGAAGCCTTGAGAAATTATTATGCCCCTTCCAACAGAGTAGGATTCTGCAATATCATTTTCCTGGATATTTTGGCAGTGTTCTGATCTGGGAGAAAAAGAACTGTGGAGTCAATGTGGTAATATGGTTAGAATCTCAGCATAGCTTTTCTAAAAGCAGTGATCCATTCAGCAAGAGTAGAGAAACTTTACAGTGTGGTGGGCCAACTGTCACTGCCCTACAGCACTCTGCAGACCAGATAACACATCTGGGATGGTGTTGTTGTGTTGAGCCTCTGTTAGGGTTGCCAGGTGAAAAATAGGACAGGGTTCCAGAACTTTTAATGGCTATGCAGAAGAAGGAATTCCTTCAAGTAGAACTTATATTGAACCTACCTCTTCTACACACCAGTAATGAGCCCTTCAGTGCTTATCTAACAGAAGCTTCTTTGATCAGCACTAAACTTCTCTGAACAATGAAGATAAAGGAGAGTGAAGCAGGAGTAAAGCTTTGGAAGGGAAATACACTTTGTAAGCACACAGGCTGGCAT